AAAAAAAATCGCTTGAAAGATGGAACAGAGCTTACTTTAACTCAATTTAATTTAAATAATTATATTGAAGTTTTCGGCTCTTGTTTTGAAACATGAGACTTCTTATGTCGCGTTTTGGAATCATATTTTTAAATAAATAATATATATATATATATATATATATTGAAATGGACAAAGTCCGACAATTATTTTAAGACATTTTTATGTTTATACGTTCTTTTTTATAGATACAAATATTTAAGTAAATGCTCTGTTTTTAATAAACATTATTAACGACATTTACCGGCCTGAATGTCCGAGGAATTATCATAGGAAATATGCGTCCTCCGACAGGAATCGAACCTGTGTCCTATACGGAACCGTCATATAGCCTGACGAGCTTTTACCGATTTCGCCACCCACACACACACACACACACATATATATATATATATATATATATATATATATATATATATATATATATATATATATATATATATATATATATATATATATATATATATATATATATATATATATATATATATAATATATATCAGATTTTAATATAATGTAGGCTCATATACAGGGTGTCCATAAAGTTCGTGTGCACTTTAAAAATTTATAACTTTATTTGTATTTGCGAAAGAATTAATCTGTAAAATGTGTTATAAAGTTTAATGTACCTAGTTGTAAGTATTGCTAAAATAACTTATGTGATTTCAGGCATTACTGTAAATCAGTTGGCAAATGTTTTCCGTGAACTGCAAAATCGTATTACCCTTTGTATTGCTAATGATGGAGGACATGTGGAAACTTAAATAAAAATTCAATAAAACCTTAAAAAATATAGATTTACTTCTTTCCAATGCTTTTTACAAGTTATTTATATCGCAAATACAAATAAAGTTATAATTTTTTTAAAAGTGCTCACGAACTTTATGGACACCCTGTACATATATATATATATATATATATATATATATATATATATAAATTGTGTATTTGGTATGTGTGTGTGTGTGTGTGTGTGATAAAATATAGTTTTAAAGTGTGCTATGTATATATCGGTTAAAGTGCACAATATATCAGGGGTAGAGCGATTGCATATAAACATGAAACCGACTGTCGCAATATATTGATTAAAATTTACTATATCTATAGAGGGGGGGAATGCTTACTACCTGAAACGAAGGGAGGATTTGTACGTTTTGACAGTGTGGACATAGGAATCAAGACTTCAAGGAGACTGTTAGCTTCACGCCTGAGGACTAGTAATAGAATTTTACCTTAGAGACTTTGTAGTCTGTAATACCTGAATGATAAAGAGAGGTATATTAAGAAATCTTTCAATCTCTCCACTACTCACATCATTTTATTCTCAACGCAAAAACAGCTTATGACATCCACAAAGCAAAAAAACAAAAAAAAACAAAAAAAACAACAAAAAAATAAAACAGACACCGACGACAGCGCTTCTAACAAAAACAAATTAATCATCCCATCCCTGACACTAGGATCGTTGCCACCGCCTCCAAGACAATCAGAGATTTAATTATGAAGAAAAATAAAACCAACACTGATTCAAATGCCTGGATGTATCGAATAAATTGTTTACAATAACAAAAATGTTTATGCGGGGGAAGACATCAGGTGATTTAAATTCCCGCATCTGCGAACATAAGAGAGATTTGTGTTTGGACAAACAATTTAATTTTCTTGCTTTTCATCGGAACGATGCTGAACATAACTTTGATTTCACTAATGCCACCCTAATTAAAGAAGAGCATAATTCTTCAAGGAGAAAATACATTGAAAACTTAATAATAACATTATTACCAACTATAAACACACATTTAAAACATTACATTACATCGCCATCTTTCCTTGCATCAATTCTTAAAAAAATCTATCAAATACAAAGAATACATTTTTAAACAGGCGACTAATATACTAGAACCGCCTGCGAGGGTTGACAGCAGAAAGGTGAAGATAAAAACCCCAAAGTGACACGTATCCTGTCAATGAGAACTGACCCAAACATAATTGAAAATACCATTTTTTCTGCTTTCTTTCAATCTCTGACGAAGCTTTAATAGAATTGAAACATGTTAGATTGATATACGTTTCCTATATGTTCTTTTATTTTATCATCCTGTCGGATTCCGATCCATATTTGATCTACATTTGATCTTTAACGTCATGAGGTTAATATATATATTAACCTCATATTATATATATATATATATATATATATATATATATATATATATATATATATATATATATTTATTATTTAAAAATATATATATATAATTATTTATTTAAAAATATGATTCCAACGCTACATAAGAGTTCTCATGTTTCAAAACAAGAGCCGAAAACTTCAATATAATTATTTGAATTAAATTGAATTAAAGTACTAAGCTCTGTTCCATCTTCAAGCGAAATTTTTACTGGAATAACTTATTCCTGAAATTTACGCGTTTTATAAGCATGTTCATTATTGAAATTAAGATTACTATGGTAACGGCTAGAGCAATTGTTTAAAGAAAAGGGGCGTAAGGGTTAATAATTTGTATTAATATCTCAGTTACATTCACAGACGTCAAGTCAGGGTAAGGTTGGGGTGTCTAAATTTAAAGCGGAAGATGACATCGTCTAGTCTGGTTAAGTGTCTATGGAAATTTTTTTATTTTTATTTTTTTATTTTATTTTTTATTTTTCTGAAAGGGTTTTGTGTATATAAAAAAACTATCGTAAGTGGCTAACATTTGTTTTTTGACGACTTCATGAAGGGTTATCTTTTCTTTTCTTTTTTTTTGTAGGGCAATTAAACTATTTATTTAGACTATGGAATTTAAAATTATTTTATTGTTTGTTTGTTTTTATGCTAATTATTCAATGCGAAAATTTGATGATGTCAGCAAAAAAACGTTAACTCCTGTCTATTGTTTAATAGATTTTTATTATTTTATTATATATATATATATATATATATTATCAGGATAAAAAATAAAATAAGAATTCAAATGCTGGGGTTTATCAAATAAAATGTCTACAATGCAATAAGATGTACAATGGGGAGACTTCACGTGATCTAAAGACCCGCATCTAGGAACACAAAAGGGATTTGTGTTTAGATAAACATTCAAATTCTCTCGTATTACACCGCGACAACATGGGACATAACTTTAATTTCACCAATGCCAGACTGATCAAAAAAGAACATAAGCCTTTAAAGAGAAAATATGATGAAAATATATTACCAGCTATTAACACACGTTTAAAAAACTGCATTACATTACCATTTTTCTACAGATACATTATTCGTGCATCTAACTTATCTCTTCCGAATATAAAAAAATCAATATATGCACAAAATACGCACGAGATATACTTTAATGAAAAATTGTTCAAAATATCCTGCAGCGCCTCACTAACCTTTACATACTTTAACATCCCAAATGTTTTCTTACAATTATTTGAATATTGTCTGTTACTTCATTATACGTGACACGTATCCAAACAAAACATCCTACTGTTTTGCACACTTTAGCGTCGAGTATGTTTGGCACACATATTTAAATATCATCTGTTACTTCATTCCACGTAACACATATCTAACCAATAAGAAATAGCCAATCACAACATACCATTAATCTGTGTCTCATTGCTTTTTATCGTTTCTCTGTCGATCTCTGACGAAGCTTTAATAAACTGAAACATGTTAGATTACGATCTGTTTCCTACTTGTTCTTTATCCTATCATATATATATATATATATATATATATATATATATATATAGAGAGAGAGAGAGAGAGAGAGAGAGAATGTTTTCATACGCTTATTTGAATATCATCTGCCATTTCATTACACATGGCATGTATCCAATCAAGACATTCTACTGCCTCTTACTTTTACACACTTTAGAGTCAAAAATGTTTGCCACACATATTTAAATATTATCTGTTACTTTATTACACATGACACGTATCTAGCGAATAAGAATTAGAGACAACATACCATTAATCTGCGTCTCTTTGCTTTTTATCGATTTTATCATTTCTATCTTGATCTCTGACGAAGCTTTAATAAAGTGAAACATGTAAGATTAAGATCTGTTTCCTACTTGTTCTATTTCTTATCATTTTGTTGGATTCCTATCCATCAAGCCGGGATCAAAATCCGACCTATTTGGCATCAGTTCATGATTCTATCTCTAAGCAATCGGCGCACGTCAGAGAGAGAGAGAGAGAGAGAGAGAGAGAGAGAGAGAGAGAGAGAGAGAGAGAGAAAAGATTTTAACGTATTATATACGCAATGTATACAAACACCAGTAGCTAAGAGCGCTCGTATACAGGGTGTCCATAAAGTTCGTGTGCACTTTAAAATTTTTTTAACTTTATTTGTATTTGCGATAGAAATAATCTGTAAAAAAATGTTATAAAGTTTAATGTACCTCGTTTTAAGTCTAGCTAAAATAACTAATGTGATTTCAGGCATTACTGTAGATCAGTTGGCAAATGTTTTCTTTCAACTGCAAAATCCTATTACCCTTTTTATTGTTAATGATGGAGGACATGTTGAAATTTAAATTAAAATTTCAATAAAACTTAAAAATATAGATTTACTTTTTCTAATTTTTTTTTACAAGTTATTTCTATCGCAAATAGAAATAAAGTTATAAATTTTTTAAATAGCTCACGAACTTTATGGACACCTATATATATATATATATATATATATATATATATATATATATATATATATATATATATATATATAAATTGTGTATTTGGGTGATACTTGACTTTTTTACTTTTTTACTTTTTTCCTTTTGTTTTCGTTTTTATTTGTACTTTTTTCCTTTAATTTTTGATTAATTTTTTTTTATTATTAGTCTTTACAATTTTGTTTTGCCTTTAGGCTTTTCATTGTTTCTTATATGTATTCTTCATTTATTTAATAAAAAAAATTGTTCTTATTTTAACTTTCCGGTTATAGACCTTATTTATGTTCATGCCGAGTGGGCACCTTGACGTGGTGTAATGGTTAGAAACCTTGTCTTGCTAGAACAATTACGACTGAGTAGTGAGTTTGATCCTCACTGGATGCCCCATACTTTCGGCCTTGTGCCATATCTAAGCCGGGCTTAGAAAATCCCTATGTTCATACCGAGCTTTTTTTCCCTTATGTAATGTGTTATATACCGTGCCTATGAACACTAATGGATGTTCCCCAATCCTCATAAATACGTTGAACACTATTATAAGTGGGGGGTAATAACATGCTGTATAAGTAGTTCACCATTAACAGTGGTTTAACTACTTCACGCCGCTGGCGAGTATTGAATTTTGTTGATGTTATAAAGATTACCATTTCGTTTCCAACCTCCGTTTTGGTTATTCCTCATTCATTAACCCTTCCTAGGTTAAGATAGATAGATAGATAGATAGATAGATAGTGTTATATACCATGCCTGTGAACACTAATGGGTATATCACAATCCTCATAAATATGTTGGAGACTATTGTAAGGTGGGTGGTAATATGGTGTCTAAGTAGTCCACAACTAGAAGTGGTTTACCTACTTCACGCCGCTGGCGAGTATTGTATTTTGTTGATGTTATAAAGATTACCATTTCATTTCCAACCTCTCTTTTCGTTTTTCCTCATTCAGTAACCCTTCCTAGGTTACAATATAATGTTTTTTTTTATCCTTATCATAATAATTATCTCTAGAAAGAGCCGTGAAAATTTCGCGGTTTTCCGCTTTGCATTTTTTTGATGAATCTTAATTCTTCAGTTAACCCTCTGAGACCTGACCACCGCTTTACCGGTGATAGAGAAAAAAGACGTGCTGCCCAGCTAGCGGTTGAAAGGTGGTAGAAAAAAAAAATGACGCTGGATAAACATTTGTAACTACTTTTATATCTATGTGAAACATTACATAGCAATTATTTGCGAATTTTGATTTAGGAGTTCAGGCAGAAGAAGGGTTAAAGATTGTTCAGGAACTCAGGGCTTAAAGGGTTAATGATTGGATAATCTCATGGCGAGTTCTACGATAATAAAATATTCGTAGAAATTTCCCTATCGCATCATTAAATATTTGAGCTTAATAACTTGAATAAATTATTGCAATAACAATCATAAATATGGATGCTGGCTGTTACTTTAAGAAGTAAGGGGGTACAAATGAAAATATTTGAAATTGGCAACTTTTTCCATATCACTTGAAACAGACGCTAAATATATTTATATTCCCTTCTTTCTTTCTTTTTCTTTCTTTGTTTATTCCCTTCTTTCTTTCTTTCTTTCTTTCTTTCTTTCTTTCCATATTCCCTTCTTTCTTTCGTTCTTTTTCTTTCTTTCTTCATTCCCTTCTTTCTTTCTTTCTTTCTTTCTTCCCTTTTTTCTTTCTTTCTTTCTTTATTCCCTTTTTTCTTTCTTTCTTTCTTTATTCCCTTTTTTCTTTCTTTCTTTCTTTCTTTCTATATCTCTTCTTTCTTTCTTTCTTTCTTTCTATATTCTCTTCTTTCTTTCTTTCTTTCTTTCTTTCTTTATTCCCTTCTTTCTTTCTTTCTATATTCCCTTCTTTCTTTCTATATTCCCTTCTTTGTTTGTTTGTTTCTTTCTTTCCTTTTTTCTTTCTTTCTTTCTTTATTCCCTTTTTTCTTTCTTTCTTTCTTTATTCCCTTTTTTCTTTCTTTCTTTCTTTCTTTCTATATCTCTTCTTTCTTTCTTTCTTTATTCCCTTCTTTCTTTCTATATTCCCTTCTTTCTTTCTTTCTTTCTTTCTTTCTTTCTTTCTTTCTTTCTTTCTTTCACAGAAACCAAAAAGAATCTCTCATATGTCTTTTCCGTCTTTCCACGCGATCAAAACAATGGTCCATTATTCATAAACGTATTTGCTGGTTGTAACTGGCGCGCAAAGCGAGGTATAAGTAAAATTTTAATAAGACATTTATTCAGTCCTGTTCGGGTTCTGAAAACCTCTGTAAATTTTTTTGTAAAACAGGGAAAAACAGTCTTTAAACATATTATCCCCCGAGTCAAATGTACACGTAGAAAAGCGAATTCATTGGCTGATATGAAATCGGATTTTTTTTTTATTGTCTTATCTTTGTCCGCCACCCACGTTTCATTTTTTCTTGTTGTGCGTATGTCACACTCACAAGTCCATTACTGAACCGTCTATATCAGGGGTGGCCAACCTTTAGATTCAATGCGCCAATATTTTGTACGATTAATTTAAACGCGCCACACAGACATTCACTTTTTTTCAGTACGTGTTGTAATATGGACATATTTTAAAGTTATAATACAGTCTATTTATTTGAAAAATATATGCTTATGACTAGGGGCGTATCCAAGAGTTTTAAAAGGGGGGCATCAATCAATGCTTTGACTTTTTTTTCCCTCTTCAGATTTTGTAGAGGGGGGCATAAAATAAATTGACGTTTATACATATTCCTAATGTTAATGCACTTAAAAGCTATGTGTAATTAATTATAAAAGCTAAAAGCTATGTGTAATTAATTATAGTCACAGAATTTCTACTAGCTGCACGTTATATATATTATAGACAATTTACACGTAGGCCTAATCATAATGTCAGTCATAAATCTCTCAACATTACAAAGCTGGTATAATGTGGAATCTAATTAGTATAGGCACTCATAATATTGAAGCTACGATTCAGCGAAATGTAAATCATGAAATTATTCTTAGCTTAATTTAACGAAATCCAGAGACAAACGCTCTCTCCAGTGCAGTGATAAAGAATGACAAACATTTTAAAAACACAATCAAGTCTACCAGTTAGTTAAGAACTCAGTCAACCAAAAGGACCACGTCAGCATTTTTAACAAAAAGAAATGGGACAAACACAAATCAAACTTTTAGCACTTTCGCAAAGGACGTGCAATAAATCTAAAATCACTGAAATGAATGAGTAGAAAGAGCTTAGTTTCTTTTCATCAAAAGAATGCAATGCGCCATTTGTAAGCATCCAATGCGCCACTTATGGCGCATGCGCCATAAGTGGCGCATGCGCCAAAGCTTGGCCATCTTTGGTCTATAAAATCAAGTCTGTTAAACGTACTCAAGGCATCAAACAAGAAAGATACACGTAGAAAAAGCCACCCACTGAAAAAAGAAAATACGTTTATGATGTATCTAATAGTTTCCAACGCCCCGTTTTTTAAATTACACATTAAATAGACATTAGAAAAAGAAACAGTTTTAAAATAAAAGCAAACAGTAGCAAAACTTGTGCAAAGACACAGAAAATAATGTTTAAGAAAAAAATCCTCATATTATGGTATTTTGGAAAGTAATTAAATTTTACTAGACAGGATATAAATACGAATGCAATTAAAATTTTTTTTGTTTTTAAATATTAGGGTTTCGGAAAGTAACTAGATTTTTCCAGAAAAAATGAGGAAAATATAATTTAAATTTATTTAAATATTAGAAGTTTTCGAAGGTTACTAGGCTTTGCCAGAAAAAATTGAGTAAAAATGTAATTTAAATTTTTTTTTAAATTAAGGGTTTCAATAAGTAGGTTTTGCCTGAAAAATTTGAGAAAAAATGTAATTTAAATTTATTTATATATTAAGGCGATCGAAAAGTAAATACAGTTTCCTACCATTAAACCATTCTTCTGCTTTAGTTTGTTGACGCCTTATTCTTAGCGGCGAAATAAGTGCTTACTTTTCGAACACACTAATATATATTTGAGGAATCGCAGAGCCGAGTTCGAATTCCAGTCGAATCCATTACATTCACTTACGTGCTAATACCCTTCGGAAAGGTATGAATCCTCTTCTTCTCCCTCCAACTATGGGTAAAATAGCAGGACAGACTGGGTTCTATAGCCTTGGATGGCAACTGGTCTAGGAGAAGGACAACTCTGAATTCAAAACCTGCAGAGGGTCGTTTGGGGACCTTGTGGCACGTAGTGAACCAGGTCTCTGTATTCAGCCCTTCAAAAAGTGTGGATGGTCCTGCACGAAACCTTCACCACTATAATCAAATCTCATGTGTCGTTGTCGGGCTGTCGGTTTCTGGGAATTGTTCTGAGTGACCTTCATACGTCGAAATCGACGGTAGAGTCGACTATATATATATATATATATATATATATATATATATTTACAATATGAAATATTATACTTATAATTATGTGAAAAGTATATATATATATATATATATATATATATATATGTATATACAATATGAAATATTATACTTATAATTATGTGAAAAGGGTGTGTGTATATATATATATATATATATATATATATATATATATACAATATGAAATATTATACTTATAATTATGTGAAAAGTGTGTGTGTATATATATATATATATATATATGTATATACAATATGAAATATTATACTTATAATTATGTGAAAAGTATATATATATATATATATATATATATATATATATATATATATATATATAATTATTTATATATTTATATATTATATGCGGGTACTTAAACCCAAAATTTAAAAAAAATTAATCAGTTTGTCTGACGATCATAAAAAGCGTGAAACCCAGGGTCACAAACTCACATCAATCCAACCAAATATGCTTATAATATATATATATATATATATATATATATATATATATATATATATATGCGTGTGTATGTATGTATGTATAGTACAAGTAATCGATCCGTTGGAATAAAATCCGGGTAGATCCTAGTAATAATGATTATAAAAATTTGATCCACAGACCGCTCGATGTGGCTCACGAAAACCGTTAAATGGCGGTTTTGAAATAGTCTATTCCGATGTTAAGATAATTTTTGTTTTTTTGCTGTTATATATATATATATATGTATTGAAATTGATGTAAATATATATACTGATAAAGATAAATAGATTTCTAGATTTGGTAAATCTTTATTATGGAAGTAAGCGGCTGAATACAGGAAACGAGATAATGGCCGTGTATAGTCATGTTAATATGTATTTAAATAATAATATATAAAAAAAATACAATAATACATACGCGAATATTTTATAGGAAATGAATTAAATCCGACAGATTTTGAAAATTTATTTGTTTAAACGTTACTTTCAAATGGATAATCATATTTGAGAAGGTGCTCTGTTTTTGTTTACTTATTAAAGAATAAATTTAGTTTTTTACATCTACCGTCCTGGATATTCGAGAAAATCTTGCTAGAATAATATGCGTCCTCCGGCACGATTCTAGGTCTATAAACGAAAACAACCATTTATAACTAAAAATAATTATAATTTAAGAGCCCGCATTTCCGAATGTATATAACACATGCACACTCATCACAGTCTGATTACGTCACAACACTCATTGCCTACGTCACAACACTCATTGTCTACGTCACAATGCCTACAAATTGCCTATAACACTCATTGCCTACGCCACAACATTCATGGCCTACGTCACAACAACCATTGCTTATACGCACTAGTTAAACAAACCTCACCATTTGTCTCCACCTACTCTGCTCACAGCTTAGGCTACCTTCTGTCCATTCCTTACGAAAAAGAGCCATTTATATAACCGAAAGTTTCTACTCATATCATAATGTTAACGGGAATATTAGCCGTTTCCCTATAAGGAAACATTTGGCATTCATTGACCGAGCAGCCAGTACTGCTTCTGGTTGAAATCTGTGAAATCTTTCTCTTAAAACAAGTTTTAAGGAAAATAGGTTCCTCCAGTCCTGTTATCCGTCTGGATCATATGACACTATTTTGTGTATTTGCTAAACGATTTGCGCAGACTTGACAGTACATAACAAGGTAACATTGTAGACTTTACTGCGCATGCATGTAAAAAAAGTCTCCTGAAAGATTAATCAGTCGGTAATGAAACGGCATAGAATTGTAGAACCCCGTTAAAAATTGACGACAAAACTTCAATAGATTTAAGAAGTGTCATTAAAATCTCAATTCTGTGCAGAAATAGGATCACACAGATATCGCCTCAATTTTGTTTCAAATTCAAATTTCCACATTAGCATTTATTAACCAATCAAGCTTTAAAAAAACAGAAATTCTTCACGTTTACATGAAACAGTCAAGAGTCACAGAGGGAAAATAATTAACAATCTTTTCCCTCCTAAAAATCGAAATTAAAAGTTGGTAAATATATTTATTAACCAATAAACCTACTGAGTTTAATAAATCCAATTTTTAACATTGTGGGATTTTCTTTCTTCCCATAAATAATGTAAAGTAAATTAATAGTCTTTCTGTATTGCTTCGTCCACCGCAAAGAAAGTTGGCTCCCTGTGCCGCGCCAGGAAATTTTTCTCCCCGGAATCGATCCTCCAGATCTACAAATCAACAATTCGCCCTTGCATGGAATATTGCTGCCATATGTGGTCTGCAGCCCCTTCTGTTTGCTTCGGGGTTCTTGATAGGCTCCAGAGGCGGATATGCAATATAATTGGCCCTGATCTGGCATCTCGTCTACAGTCACTTTCTCACAGACGCGCCGTCGCCTCTCTCTGTCTGTTTTACTAATACTTTCATGGCAATTGCTCCGAGGAGCTGCATTCGCTGGTTCCCAGACTTCATGAGTTCAAGCGCCCTACGAGGCTGGCATCCCACTCTCACCCTTTCACTGTATAAACTTTTAAATGTAGCCATCTCTTCTACTCCAATAGCTTCATGTCTCGCCCCTCTCGCCTGTGGAACTCCCTTCCCTATTCCAGTTTCCCTGAGAGCTATGATCTCCAACTATTCAAATGTAATGTCAATCGACATCTCCAGTTGCCTTGATCTATCCACTATCCTTCTCCTCATCCTTTTCTCTATCACTTCTATTTGCTCT